TTACTGCAATCAGCTGTTTCTCAGAGGAGTCTCGTGGCCTGCAGATGCACTCCACGCCCTCCACAGTGGACTTCTAGTGCAGATTCTGGTCTGAACCTACGATTAGCAGGAAGGTCTACGGCCGCTGGCTGAAGTCCACAATGGTGGACAATGCTCACCTAAGATCGTCTCTGTGGGAACTGACTGTGGACAGCATCGGCCTCTCAGAAGGACAGTAACATCCAAAAATGTGCAAATATCATTTTTCTGGCTCAGAGTGGAATCTGTGGGAGGACTGCACATGTAAGTCCACGCACAGCAGCAGCATTAGCCTAGCTGAAGGATCTCATTCATGTTACATCATCACCTGAAGAACAACATGTTGTGTTTGTGCAGATGATTTCTGTGTGCAGGAAGGAGCCTGTAACCTGTCCAAGTAACGTCAGTGTGGAAACACACAAACGGTGCTGACACTTCCACCCCCACAGCCCGGCCACGTCTGCTGGAGATAATCTAGTGGCAACACAAAGACTTCATGATTTGATGTTTGACAACAGAAAAAATATTACAAATGAGGCCTGGTGAATATTGAAAAAGTGAAAAACACAATTTAAAATCTTCTCCTCTTATGTTTTCAGCTGCCTCTGTCCTCATGACGCTGCCGTACATGAAGTTTGTGGAGGCAGAGCTTCACGCCCTGCATGTTGTGCCCAAAATACTCGCATCAGGTAACCGCGATAACAGATGGGCGCTTAAATCAGCTTTGTTCTCTCAAACAGGGAAGGGAAGTGTGTGTTTGCATGTGTTTCCCACCCATCCCGAATATCCAGTTCCAGCTGGAAACCAGACTGAGCTCAGGACCACTGCACCAACACAGATACTCCACCCAAACAGCAGCACCACCTCGAAATGACATTTTCATCCTACCCGGAAAGCTTCCTCGAGGCTCCGTCTCCGCCCGTCCACCAGAACGAATGGGCGAGTTTTTGCCAGCAGCGGGCGTTGGCGTCTGTCCACACCTGAGAACAAAGACAGACGGTGAACTCCAGCAAGCTACTGGGAGAACTGGGAACACGGGGTTCCAGACAGAGGCTACACTATCATGTTTCTATGGCTAGTTGTATACTTGCTAATTATTAGCAATCGATCTGAGAACCAAGTGTGTGCTGTCTGACAGCCAATCAGAGGCTGTCCGCCGTCTGGACGCTCCGTTTGGAGCTGTCGGTGTCGGAGGTCGTGTTTATTCCACAGCAGGTTAAAGAGAGGCAGTCCGATTAGCTACCACGGCAACATGCCAGGTATTAAATTAGAAAGAGGTCAAAGGTTACACCCGTTTGTATTGCTATCTTTGAAAGTGCCCTCATTAGCATTCTGTTCTCTAGTCTGACATGTGATGTCATGAGGATGCACATTTATTTTTAACTTTGATATTTATGTAACTACATAATCAGTTACTTTCTTTTCTTAAAGTTAGCCCAGACCTGTGAAAAGTAGCAGATCCTCAGTGATCAAAGAGAAGAGTGATTGTGAGTTTTTGCCGTTCTTCAGCACAGATGTCTCCACCTTATACGAGCAGGGACACTATTGGGTGACGCTTAATTAAACGATCTTAATTGTAGGAGCGTACGTAATCGTGACGGACGTGATTCTGGGACGTCTGGAGTTTAATGTGTAAGTAATCTTCCCGTTTTCTTTATGGTGTGAAACGAAGAAACGAAACTTAAATTCTTTTATTGTAATTTACAGAATTATAAAACTCTATGTGACAAAATAAAGTCAGACAGAATTATTAAACATAGCAGCCTTTCCTCGGCTGCCATAGTGGCGTGGTCACAGGTTTGAGTCTGTCACGCAATCACAACTCAACAAAAGTGCTTCCAAGTAGATCGGCCTTCAAGATGTGTTGTTATGGCAACAATGGCAACAACACCAAGAAATCCTAGATCGATCCAAATGGTCATCAGTTTAATCCGGACAAAGGGTTAATCCAGCTGCGGAGAACTGGGACCACCACCATCACCTCACTGCCCACGAGGACCTCACTGCCCACGAGGACCTCACTGCCCACGAGGACCTCACTGCCCACGAGGACCTCACTCCCCAGGTTAAAAACTCACACTGGTCCCCACAGAAACATATTTATAAACACAATAATACACACGAACAGGCTGAAAATTGAAACAATCCTTGATTAAATGTTTTAATGAAATATTTCTCCTACATTTTCTGGCTGTAGGGCACATTTGTTCTCTTTTATTTAATTATTTTTTAAACCTCTAATTTTGGTTTTTCCTGATGTAAAAATTGACATTTTGGGGACGACTTCGCACATAACCAGGACTAGTCTCCGTATAGTTAAAGCAAAGCCTTTGCATTATATTACTTATCATAGCTACATTCATTGTTTCCTGTTCTTTGATTAAGTAACTACTTCATACATAAATAAATTAAATTTAAAAATATTTTTGAAAATTAAATTAATATTAAAATATTTTTATTTTAATCCCAGTGATTTTTCTTTTTACCCAGACTTCTTGGGTTTTGGACATGTTCATTATAATTTTAAAATTTTCACATTACCAAGTTAATTTAAGTATGTTCAGCTTTATGATTATTTCTCTGATTACTGTTTACACATTTCTAATTAAATGTAAAGAGGCTCCTTTATTTTTTTGTTTTATTTTCAATAAAAATAGGTTGAAAAGACCAGATTCAGTGATTTTTGGATGAATTACATGTTTACTTTTTAAGCGTATTCCTGAATGACGGTCGGCCCCATCAGTCGGTTATCGTTACCTGTCACCGTGGCTGTCAGACTGTCGGTACCGTCCGTCTGTCCGTCCCGAGGCAGACTCCCCACATCCTGGGGTGCGTTCAGGGACCGGCAGACGATGAACGCAGCACGGCCGCTGAGCAGTAGCAGCAACAGCCCGGTAGTCCCGCTCATCCTCTCTGCGTCACCGGCAACCAGCAACAGGTTGCTGCTGTCTGATGTGTGTGTGTGAGGCAACCCCGTCCCGCTCCCGTTACCTCACCGTGTCCGAGCTCTGGGAGAGGCTCCGCTGAAACTCCATGGCGCTTCTTTTCCATGTAACACCCACACAAAGCGGCGTGTGCTGTCCCGAACCCCGGGCGGGGGAGTGTCCGTTACTGTCGGTAAAGTAGCGGGAAATCACGGCTCTGGCTCGGACCGTTATCTGCGCAGCTCCAGCCAAACGTGTCCCTACAGTCCCAGACTGAGCGCCAGTCCCGGGAGGACCCCGCCAGCACCTCCGGCTCAGACCGTTTGTTTCCGGACAGCTCGGTTCGTCCGTGTTTGGAGGCCTGAAGCTGCTCATTAACATAGCGCTCCGGACCGTCCGTGTTTATACTGGGACCGACGGTGACGTCAGCAGGCTGGCCGAGGAGACAGGAAACACAGCGAGAGACCCTTCAAAATAAAACAGCGTAAACCTTTATGTACGTGTTGTAGCTATTTTAAAGATTATTATTATAATTACTAGAAAATGCTAGCTGTTTTATAAACGATTTAGCTTTTGATGAGGAAATTGTAGTATTTCTTATCAAATGCTTAACATTCAAATTTATTAAATTCACAATATTCTGTTTTTTTCTGCATTTTTGTGCCAAAATTGGAGAGAAAATGATTTAGCATTAACTGGAAAAGTGCTGAGTTTGTACTTTTATTTATTGCCTTTTTTAAATAAATAGATTCAGATTAAATAATCGAAATAATGAAAACTATTTTTAAAGAATTTTTTACCTTGTTTTAATGAGCAAGATAAAATAAAATAAAAAATAAAATACTTCCCCAAAAAAGTAATCCCGTTACTTTACTGATTACTTATTTTCAAAAGTAATTAAT